ACAAAGACAGCTGCACCCTGTGTGATCATTCACAGATGTGCTCCATAGCCTCCAGTTCTTGGTTGTTCAAATGAGGCTTGTTCAATGCGCTGTCAGCCCCAGAATAATGAGACACATTGAGCAAGTCTCATTTGTCCTTCATCCACCACATCAGTTCTTCTTTTTTCACCTCATTTATCAACACCTTTTCTTATATGTCAAAATGACAGACTGCCTTCAAATTTTTCAATCATTATTAAAAAAAATCCCTCAATGATGGAAGTATTCAGTTAATGCAGCTTTTGACTGCTCAGAATTAACATGTTAGTTTATTATATAAACCTATTTTATTTATTCAAAATACAATTGTATAATGTTCTACAGCACATTTGTCATGTTCAGTTTCTGAGAAAATAAATAATATTTAAATCAAACTTGATATATTCACATCCCACTTAGGTGTTAAAAGGAACCAGTCATCTTGACAAAAGTACGATTTATACTGTGATATATATTGATATTGAAATTATTGTGATAAGATTTTTTTTCCAAGCAGTAAGCTTGGTAACATAAAATGCCAGTAGGCAATAGAAGGCAATTAAGGCAAGTCCGTGTTGGACTGAGTGCAGGCATATGGCAGTGCTTAACAGTGTAGACTGGATTGATATGTATGCAATACCTGTAGAAAATATGTTTGTTTATTTTTGGCCAGTTCTAGTTGCAAGAAATTTGAAAGACCAAGTGAATGACTAATCAAATTTGCCTTTAAAAAGAATTTTCATTGTAATAAACTGCAGAATTTATATATGAATTTCAGAATTTAGATGAAGTATTTAAATATAAAGAAATAGTATAGTAAATATAAAGTAAAAATACTAAAGAAATACTTTAAATATGTCAAATGGCTATTGTGGATCTAGATAGAAATAGAACTGTGAAAAGAACAACAGTCCAGAGAAATCCAGCTGTTCTGGAGCAAAATTTTCACACACGCCTTCAGTGAGGATGATGCAATATCTCCCAAATATGTGTGGGAAAACAAAGATGTGTGTGACAAGACTAACCACTTAGGCTTGTATTATCATTAATGGGAGGAGTTATTTTTTAGGGAAAGGCAGCAGGTGCAACATGGACTTTTCTACTTGTAGTTTCTATAATAAACTATTTCCCTTTCCAGTTTAAACTATTTTATATGATTTCAGCACACCTCATCAGCATTTCTGTTGTACAGGATAGTTACAGTTTGTTATGTTCAGTAAGAGCTCAGTTAAAAAATAATGGTCAAAATGGAAAGAATAAACGCCAAGATAGGCTGACTTTTACTCCATAGGGTACATCCCAATTCCCTTATTTGATTTTTCCTAGCTCCTTGAGCCTCAATTGACCCAGAAGTTTTTCTAGTATGCCATCTTGTAGAATGTCCCAAACGTCTGTGTGTACGTCACAACGTCACCACAGTTTTATAGCAAAATTGACAGATTTACCCTCTAGTAGACTATTATTTTCTACTATAAATAATAGTCATAGAGAGGAGTCTGGAAGCACATTTTACTTACTCTGTATCATTGTTTCCATTCAGTCATGTGAAGCTGAAAAATCCCTGTATGTTGGGTAGAAAAATAGTTTGACGTGGCATATTTTAATTTATTTACACTTATTTGAAACATTTGAGTTAATAAATAATTTCTAAAAAATAGTGTGAAACATTCTATTCATAACATGATGAATGAATTTACAGACACAATATCAATAAATGATGCAGATAATTAATTTTAAACAAACAAAAAAAAAACACACTGCTGCCTTCAGAAATGACTTGTGCATCCAGCATCTGAGCAGTGCTTTATAAATACAGAATACAGGTTCTAATAAGATGCAGATAAGAAAACTAAAAATTATGTTAAGTGATTGTGGTGTGTGCCCTTAGTAATATTATGACAATGCATATATGGGTAAATGCATACGTCAACAAAAATCATCACCACATAACTTTAAAGCCTGACTGAGAGCCATCTGAGCTGCTGCCATTAGAAGCAGATGTTACTTCAGATTACACTTCAGAAGAAAGGATATTTCATTTCCCTGAAAGCATGTTTTCTCATCTCCTCTCTCGTTGGATCTATTTCTTGCATTCCTCCTTGCGTCTTCAGAGGGAGGGACTGAGACGCAAGTGACAAAAACATAGCTGCAGTTAAGGAAACTGAGATGCACCCCTAGATAAATCAAGCTCAGAGAACGCTGGGTCCCACAATTTCCAACTCAACTGCATCATCTGCCACCAGTAAGGCCAAAGGGGGAGGTGTGTGTGTGTGTTTATCAACAGCATGTGTACAGACTGTCTATAAGCACTGTTCGCCAGATGTGGAGTTTTTATTGCTGAAATGCCATCTCTATTACAGTATCTACCAAGAGAATTTAGCTGTGTGTTTTTGTCTGGAATACACATAGCCCCAAGAGCTAATTCCACAGTGGCTCTTGGCAAACTCTATGATGTCATCAGCACGCTAGATGCTGTATTTATCCCCACAGGCGACTTTAATCAGTGCAATCTACAGACTGTACTTCCCAAATATTACCAACATGTGAACATTCCCACTTGGGGTAAGAACACTCTGGATCATGTTTACAGTAACATACGTGGTACTTACAGGGCAGCACCCCGCCCCCACATTGGACGTTTGGACCACATTTCTTTGTTCCTGTATCCACCTTACACACAAAGACTGAAACAAACAAACCCTGTCACTAAACAAATTAAACTCTGGACCCCAGAGGCTGAAGGCACCCTGCAGGACTGTTTTGCCCAGACAGACTGGGATGTGTTTAAAGCTGCAGCCACCTCAGAGGACTTTTCTGTCAGCGTACAGGATTATGCTGAGTATGTGACCAGATACATTAGTACCTGTATTGACAACATTGTGCCCACCATACAAGTCAGGAGGTTTCCCAACCAGAAGCCCTGGATAAACAGTCAGGTACGCCACATGCTGCATGCTCGCTCTCATGCATCCAGATCAGGCAATGAGACGGAGTACAAAGCTGCAAAGTACAGACTGAGGAAAGCCATCACAGCGGCCAAGAGGCAGTACAGAGAGAAGCTGAATGGCTTCTGTACAGACAGGAGGCACACACACACCGAGACCACTCAACCCCCCACTTCCCCTCCATTAACTGTCTCACCAGGCCAGGTACGCACAGTCCTGAGGAAGATCAACCCCCACAAAACAGCAAGACTGGACAACATCCCTGGGAGGGTACCAAGAGCATGTGCCAGTGAGCTGGCTGATAATGACTATTTTTAGTTGTTTTGTATCTCTTTGCAGTTGCTTTGTGTCAGTTTTTTTGTGCATATTTCTGTAATTATTTTGCTCTCTGGGATCTTTTGTGCCTTTTTTCATCATTTGTCTACTTTTGGGTAGTGATTTTGTATCTCTTTGTAGATGTTTTGCATCTATTTTTTTCATTTTGTGTGTGTGTGTACTTTAGTCATTTTGTTATTATTTGAATGACTTTCCAACAGAAAAGTTAGCTAACAGTCCCTTCACAATTATCTGGTCTGGGGGTCCCTGAACCTTTGCCCAGTAGGCCTGTTCAGTAATCCATCTGTGCTGCACACAGATGGCATGTGTAAGCCCAATTTAGTATGCAGCTGCATCAGCCTAATTAGGCTATTACTGTCAGTAATAGCTCATGAAACATGACTGACTTGCATACTCAAAGATAGTGCGCAGTATGACTATTTCTCCTAAATGGAACATTGTTTCCGTGTTTACCACAGGAACTACATATGTGGCACTAGTCCTCCGATCAGATAATAGGTAAGGTAGGCCTAACAAGCCAATCCAAACCAGAAAACCAATAGGTTTATCATATTATATAAGGCCTAGGACATAACAGGCTGGGTTGTCTGTGTTGTGGGAGGGTAGTGGGAGGGTAAGCACAAACTGATATGAGGTCTGCTGGCCTTTAAAAGCATGGGGAACAAAAGATAGTGCGGTGAAAGACAAGGCATCAACATTACAGGTAAAACTATATATGCTCCTGTAGTTTTGTTTAGTAGCTTTTGGTGTTTTCCCTTTCAAGTTCTTCAAGTTGTACCTTTAGTGCATTTCTGCCCTGCATGTTTTTCAAGATGTATCTAAACTCTTCATCCCCTCTGATCAAGCTGTTCTAAGTTTCATACTGCTATATTTTCTCAGTGTGTTGCTACTGTTTTGATGTTCTGATACTGTAGTGAAACAACATGTTGCACATAAGAGTTCTGTTATTGTAGTGTGATAAAATGATGCTCATGACTATCAAAGCTTTTTTATTGCTTTACAAAGATTAATTAATTTGTTGTTCACTGTGTATTACCAGTATTTTTACATTATCCTTTCATAACAACACATTATCTTTTTAAGTCTCCCCACTTGCTGAATAAAATATTAAATATAATATAGAGCATCAAGCAGTACTTAAACTTGCACAGTATTAATTACAGTAGTTGTGGATTTCCACCTTCATGTTGTGTGAATATATCTGTGGAGATATTTTCAAGCAAGTTTAACTAAAGAAGCAACAAAGCTCATAAATAATATTATTTTAAAATAATTTTGCTCAACTTGAGGCTTATAACGCACAACTGTAATCTTTAATTACATAGGTTAGTCTTTTTTAAAATAAATTAAAGCTTTATCTTTCCACTCAACTCTGATTTTTTCTGTACCATGACAGCTGCTCTTGTAGAGCCTGGGTGGTGAGGGTGGTGGGTTGATAATTGCTAACAGAATACAGTGGCACTCACATGGAGATGCTATAGTCAAAAAATGACTAATCCTAGGATCTGTAGAAGAAACCCAAAGAAGGTGGCCAGTTATAGCACATTAACAGGTAAACACTCAATGGGGTGAGGAAGAGCTTTTGGTATCTTGTTGATGCTATTATCAATAGTGAAAACAAAATGTCATATCAGTAGTTTCAATACCTGGGCATCGATCCACCCATCCAATATTAATAATTAAATGGTAGCAGACAGTGTGTCTGAAAAAAATAGACTCAGTTGTCCACACCATAGAAAGGTGTCTTTGGAATGAATAGAGATAACAATAAAGTGAATGGGGTAACAGTGCAAACAAATCCAGCTGTTATCAGACTAAATTTTCACAAAATATTCATCTGAAGATGATGCAACTTCTCCCTGCCTTCTGAGAATTCAGTGAGTGTACGGTGTTGACATTGAGCCACATTATTTTAGGAAAGCAGATTTGATTTTAACTAATTCAAATCATTTTATAGGTGTGTGTTTCTCAGAGGCTACTACTGAATAACAGTGGTGGTAAAGTGAACTGCATTCACAAAAGAAAATCAATACATGTTAACTTGTAATAATAATTTCCTTCATATAAATATGACATTGCAATTTTTTTCATAAAAACCTCATAACTATCTCTGTAATTCTTGTGATGTGATCTCTCTACAGGGAGGGAAATCTGAAACAAACATAAATGTTAGCCAACTAACATTAGCTGTGGACTGGAGGATGCCTTTTCCATAGTTAGTTGCAATCACAGATCCTTAGTTCATACTGTAGCCACAGTAGGAAACATGAAATAGACCGAAGGGGGCAAAGAATGGTAAGGAATATTTTATGGTGTGAGTTTGTTTTGAGTCTCATTAGACCCTCTTGTGGCTGAAAAGAAATCTGGTAGCATACATTTAGTAAAATAGTGCAGTCACAAACACTGAAAGAGTGAAAGGTCGACTTATTATATAAATCCATGTACGAGGTTAAAATATTGTTTCTTCTCCATAGGCTCCAGTGAAGTCATGGCCTCCAGTGTTCCCTTCGTCATGTTGGTCCTGAGCAGCCTGATTGTGGCTGAAGCCCAGCTAAGGCTGTTTAACTTGCGGGCCAGCAATCTTCCTTCCAGCTTATTTGGAACCACAGATGGCTATGTCAAGGTGTCCTGTGGGGCTGCTAAACTGGGTAAAACATCAGTTTCCAATGACAACCCTAACCCCTGGTGGTCAGAGGAATTCACCCACTTCATGGCCCAGGAGAATGACAAACTAAAGCTTGAAGTTTATGACAGCGACTTAATCTTTGATGACCTGTTGGGAGTCTGCGAGAGAGCTATCGCCCTGGGGGTCCATGAACATAACTGCTACCTGGAGAAAGGTGGAATCCTCACTTACTCCTATACCCTTGGTAACCAAACTCATTAGGCTTGTATAGATACAGGTGACCTTTGGCCTTACAGGCAGCCTCTTTACCACAGTATGACTACATCTTGATGTACAGTTTTAAGAGACTAGCGTGCAGGCCGTGCAAACCATTATTGCATTTTTTGACAAATCATGGTCACTTTACCCATAAAGATCTAAACTGCTTTATTCAATAAACCCTGCAAACATTCATTCCAGTCTCTTTTTTTATGCTTAGTTGCTGACTTTCCCCCTGCTTTCCTGTTTGCAAACAGATATATACCTTCCTTGCAATCTGAAAATTTTTATTGTTCACAAATGTTATTGAATATAATAAGGGACAATACCTTTGTGGATATAAACCTATTTGCATGCAGTTTATCTTAATTTCATTCAGTCATGTCTGTGAATAAAACTGAGCAAACAAAACACGTCACAGCAGCATGAACGGTGATGCATTCACTTACTGATATACAATATGAACTGAAGTGTGTTTGAATGGTGAACGCTAAAATGAATAAACCACATAGTGACTACAAATCATTGTTAATGTTGTCAACAACTACTATGATGCTAAATATGACATAAAAATACAAATAAAAATATTTGTTGACATAAGTATTGGGAGGAGGTGGGAAAATTTGAGACTTGGTGCAGAGCTAACAACCTCTCCATCAATGTCACAAAGACAAAGAAGATGACTGTGAACTTCAGAAGGACTGGCACAACTCACATCCCCCTTTACACCCGGAGGGTCTGAGGTTGAGGTGGTATCCTGTTTTAAATATGTGGGGGTTCACATCACTGACAATTTCACCTGGAACACCAACACGTTCAGCATTGTGAAGAAGGCCCATCATGCTTGTACTTCTTAAAGAGCTCATGGCATGCTTTTCCATGTTTTTTGACTTATCTATAATGTTACAATGGTGAATTATCATCTTAAACATGACCTAAAGCTCAAAAAATGAGGTGTACATATGTTCTAGTACTTCTATGCAGAAGCAACTTGGTTTATATAAGTCTCGCAAACTCTCACTCGCAAGACTTTTTTTCTAACAAAATTAAGTATTAGTGATAGCTTAAGGATCTCCTTGAATGGTTATAATCAGTTGTGCATTTATGTAAGCTTGCCTGACATCCACTGGCGCCATTGTAAAAGCAGAATTTTTTGACTCACACATGGTTTTGTGGATATATTTTACCTCCTGCTGCTGCACTGTGACCAGAGGATGTGGAGAAAAATACAGGGCCTGAGGTTACTGGATGTCTGGGAATGTTCATGTACACTCACTGTTTTACCTGACCGGGTCTAACCTACAAGCAGCTGGCCGGTGAAGTACCAGGTTAGGGAAAACACATCTCAATGGGGAAATGGATTGTGACACAACACCAGCAGCAGGAGTTGTGTGTGCTCATGAACTACGGCCAGCAATGGCAGCCTTGGTTACTCGCGCTCTCTTGTGTTTGTTGTTTTCCTTTGTTTTCTTGGTCTTTTGCAACCCATCCCGGATTACTTTTACCAGAGAAGAACTGTTAAATACATGTATAGGACAACTCACACCAAACTACCTTTCTCCAATCTGTGTGAACAAAGAATGCTGTATGGACATTCTGATCTGAGGCACAGCTGCCATATACGGGACCTATAAAAAATGCTGCAATGGCAAGTGAGCGGGCCCTTGGTGAGGCTATGCCAGATAGGGACCCGGACTCCACTCCCATCTATCCACCTAGCAAATCTCCGCTCCCTGGTCAACAAGATGGATGAAATTCTTCTCGTCAATAGGACTAACTCTGTGCTTCACTGAGACCTGGATGAGCGACTCGACTGCGGACAGCACGTTACAAGTACCGGGCTTCCAGGTGTTCAGAGCAGATTGGGTAACGGAGCTGTCCGGGAAAATGAGAGGAGGTGGAATCTGCTTCTACATAAATGAAGGTTGGTGCACAAATGACACGGTGCTACAGAGAACATGTAACACAGATTTAGAGACTCTTTTTTATCAACTGCAAACCTTTTTATTCTCCTTCTGAATTTTCAAGCTTCATCCTGGTGGGTGTCTATTTAAAGCCGCAGACCCACTCTAGCACACTACAGCTCCTGGCTGAACTGATAACTAGCGTGGAGCTAGAACATCCCGACTCTCCACTCATTGTTCTAGGGGACTTTAACAGAGCAAATCTAACCCACAAACTGCCCAAATACAGACAGCATGTCACCTGTCCCACTAGGGGACAAAAATCATACTGGACCACTGCTACACAACAATAAAAGACGCCTATCGCTCTGTCCCCCATGCAGCCCTCCAACTCTCTGATCACTGTATGGTCCATCTTATTCCAACCTACTGGCAGAAACTTAAAGCTGCAAAGCCTGTGGTCACTTAGTAGGCTAAACTAAGTCAGTGACACTTTGACTTTTTTCCAAATAATGAACATTTCATTCATAATATTATAAACACAGACCTATAATTTGCACATTTTTGTTTTTTCCAAATTGTGTTAAATGGCTAATAAAATTGGTAATACAAGGTGAATTGGTTTAGTCTTGACTTCTGGTCGTGAGTGACAGTGTTGGGGGATGGGAAATCTGTTGATTGTTGATTGCAAAAAAAAAACAAAACAAAACAAAAAACAGAGCGATGGAGGGAAAAAGGTCAAAGCTGTCAGGTGCCCAATTTAGGAAAAAGAAAAAAGAAGAGATAAACTGAGCAAAAGATAAAGGTATGCAACCAGAATTGTGGTTTTCAAATGTTCTGTTGAAGGATTTGTGCAATTGAGAAAGAAGTTTGTCTTGGGGGTCTCACCCGGGGGGTAATTCAATGTAGAACCGCCACTGTACTCTATTTTTATTCCTATTCATTTCATTTCAATGAAAATTCCTTTGTCTGTCTGCATTGCGGGGTGGGCAACAGCCCCCCCAAAACCTTCAGCCAATTCACACCAGCGATTTCCTCCTCTGTTGCCAGTGACCAGCACCTCACCCAGCACCCAGTGAGTCAAGTACAGTCTGAACATTTACTCACCGTTTTCCCTTCACTCTTTCAGAGACTTCTCACAGCCCCCCGTACATCTCCCTGGACAGACATCTATCCATCCTCCTGTCCTAGTTTCCTCTCAATGTCAGCGGCCCTGTGTGAAGTTCTCTTCAACTTATCCTCTGTTACACCATTAAAGGACTTTGTTTAGACCAATATCTGAGTTTGCCTTTTGAGTCTGCTGTGTTTCCCCCTCTCTCGCTCCCCATCGAGAGAGAGCAACCATAACATTCAGGATATAAACTGATCTTAGAAAGAAGAAGATTTGGAAAAAAAATCATATAGAAATGAATCTGTCTAGAATACCTGTGTTGAAATGTGCAGCTAACTGTGCTTCTTTCTAGACAAAGGTTTGCTGCTCTCTGGTGATCATCAGTCATTTGGGCTCCACAGCTTTCTTTGGTAAGTGTTTGGTTGTGTTTTGGCAGCCACACATACTGAATATGAGTCAGACATCAAGGTTTATGAAGCTACTTCCTCTTCAGGTGTATCATTAATAAATGTGTCCTCTCCTCCTTGCAGGCCACTACATATGTGACAGTGTTTACCGGAGGAACCCTGGTGGTGTGACAGACCATTGGTTGATGTACAATGACAAGGAGGTCATCGAGACAACAGGCACCTCGTCCTGTCACCACAGGTGGAGAACAACATACCTGCTCTTCTATGAGAAAAAGGTAACTGGAGAGACACACATGTTCAATGTTTTCTGTAGAGCAGGAAAACAGATGTTTGTCCAAATAAGCAATATAACGTTATTTAAAAACCCTGACACAAGTAGAGTTCCATGGCTGGGAGACAGACCTGCAGCACTATGGCACCTGCCATCCAGATGAGTGCTCTCTCCCTGCCCTCGGCCTCTCGAACTTTGGCCTGGCCCTTTGCGACCTCACGCCCTCTCCTTTCGAGGGAACATGGCTAGCCCTCTGTCCTGGAGGGCCAGGAAGGAAGAAGCCCAGAAGGAACGGGTGGACCAAGACAGACCCCCGCTGCAGCAGTCCCCGTCTGTCCCAGGAATCCAGCCTGCCCGACACTCCCAGCACAGTCTCGGCCGAGGGAGACCTGCCTGAGTCCTGAAGAAGCCTGAGCAATACGACGGCACCTGAAAGTTCAGATGGCATTTCCCCTGTCCCTTCCCATTCTTCAGTCACAACTGGTTTGACAGTCACATCTGGTTTGACAGCTGCACTATCGCTGCCTGTTCCAGGGCTGCAGCTGCCACTACCAGCATATAGGTCCAGCGAGAGAGAAGAGAAGAATTTGGAGCATCATGGGGAGCCCCCAAGCAGCCCAGGCCTATAGCAGCATAACTAAGGGAAGGCTCAGGGTCACCTGATCCAGCCCTAAATATAAGCTTTATCAAAAAGGAAAGTCTTAAGTCTAATCTTAAAGGTAGAGAGGGTGTCTGCCTCCTGAACTGAGACTGGGAGTTGGTTCCATAGGAGAGGAGCTTGATAGCTAAAGGTTCTGCCTCCCATTCTACTTCTGTGGACTCTAGGAACCACAAGTAGACATGCACTGTGAGAGCGAAGTGCTCTGTTAGGATGAAGTCTTTAAGATAGACATAAAGTGAGGGCTGGCCAAAATGTACCCACTCTGTAGTAAAAAATGTTACATATAGATATGTATAATCATACCATTATACTATTAAAATTAAATTTAAATGTAATTAAAAACACCAGTCTGAAGCCTGACAATCTTTTAACTACAGTGTTTTGTCTTTTTCATTAATTCTTACACAAACATTTATAGCCTACCTTTTAAGGTAGGCCTAAGTTAGGGTTAAGTTTATTTAAAATTTTACCAAAATTGTGTAACAAACGATATACAAAAGTGTGTTAATATTAAAAGCTGCATTTAACTTAACAAGTACTCTTTTAAAAATAGGCTACCTGTCTAGAATTTGTAATAAACTAAGCTGCTGTAAAATCAGGGGTTAATTTAACAATCTATGATTACTTTTATTGTGAATAGATCTTCCTTCATACATTTAAATACAGTTAGGAAGCGTGGAGGACCTGTGCCCGTCACGGGTCAAAAGGAGGGTGGCGAGGATGACTACTGACCCCTCACACCCTGGACACAATCTGTTTGAACTCCTCCCCTCTGGACAGCATTACAGGTCACTGTGCACCAAGACAACCAGGCACAGGGACAGTTTCTTCCCCCAGGCTGTCACACTGATGAACACTCAACCCATGACAGAATGAGTGGACAATAACCCTCAGTGCAATACCTGTAAATATACATTGTACAGATTATACAGACTTGTACAGGTCTCTAGTTTTAAGTACTCTGTTTTTATCCCTATTTATCTCATTTCAACGAATATTCCTTTGTTGTCTGCATTGTTTGTCTATTTATACTGCTTATTCTACATTGTTTGCACTGTTTGTTGCTATTATACTTCTTATTTTGTTATATTACACATCCTTATGCTGCTTTACCGTTTGTATATTGAGAGCCGGTGTACCAGAGTCAAATTCCTCGTGTGTTCATCACACCTGGCCAATAAAACGGACTCTGATTCTGAAGGCCTGAGTCCCTGTACAATCATGGCGGTCGCGTTGACGCATCACCGTAAGTGGTTCATGCGGCATCTACGCCCGACCGAAAAGTAAACTGCAGGCATTGTGCAGCGATTGCAAGTGATCGATTCAGTGCAAGCCTGGCTCATCTCGGCCGAGCCCAGTTATATAGTTATACAGTATATGTGTTTTGGCAAACTACTGCTGATTCCTTTAATTCGGAAATTCGTAACCGGAAGTTCAACGTGTCCTTGCTCTTAACCGGATTTGCGTGTGAGGTTATGTTTTTTTTTTTTTTTTTTTTCAGCAGGTGGAGGTAATGCACCTTAGGTTGAGTTGCAAACCGCCAGTAAACACCAAAAGAAGAAGCTGATGTTTTTACTCGTGAACATATGTTAGTTTACTCACAGTCAGATATTTAAAGTCTGTTTTTTTTTAGCTGCCTTCGATTTTATTCATAACAATCTAGCTAGCTAACATTACTGTACCTTCTTGATCCGCTCATCTATATTCATGTTCACTAACCGAACTAAAGCGAAAGTGAAAGATAGCAGCAGTCCTCGTCACAGAAAGAATGGCTGACCAGACACTTGAGTATTTCTTGAGTCAGGGTCTGATAAAGAAAAGGGACGCTGCTGAGGTTAGGTGGTCACACGCTGTCAACTCCAGGAACAAGCTGACAGAGGCTCTTGCAGGTGCATTTATACCATGTTCTTTATTAGAACACAGTTGGCATTTTTGTACTGTACTTAGTCATGTTGAGGTGTCAGATGTTCTCTGTTACCATGAAGGTTTCTTAATGTAATTATGAAATATATGGACATCGTTTTTCTTTCAGGAGCTAGATGACAATACAAATTAGTATCCCATCTCTAATTTGACTTGTACTGTGTGAGGATTTGATGTTTTACATCATTGTTAAACTCAAATTTTTACTGTTGGTCAGGCAAAAAACACATTTAACCTTATTCTCTGGACAATTGTAACTGACTTTTTGTTATTCTGACATTTTATAGACAAAACAACTAATTGATGAATCAAGAAAGCAAACGGCAGATGAATTGATAGTGAAAGGAAAAAACAGTTGAAGTCGTAGTGTGAAGATTTATCAGAAGTGTTAGCTATTAGATTTCCTCATAATGAAGTTGACATAGCTTTAGAGCATTTCAGTCACAATATGATGAATGAAAACAAATACACACGAGCTGGAATAAGTAGGTTAATACAATTAATAACTATATATTGTTCACCAAAACTGAGCACAACAATGTGCAATATGACTAAAATGTTAAATGATAAAAAAAAAATCGTATAAAATTGGCCAGTGCTGAGGTTCCCTTTGCATTTAAAGGTTAAATTCTTGTACATGAGCTGGATAGCTTTGTTGACAATTTCACATTATCTCTGATCTGTTGGTTCTTCAAAAGTCTCGCAGGACTTGCTGTCATGTCAACATGTCTATAATCTCAAACCTGCTCGGGAGCAGGTTAGTTTTCAGGTTTATTCATTGTAAACAAGATAACTTCACAGATTTATAGGGTCTTGGAGCAGACAACTGTACTTAATCATTTGCTGAAATGTATTAAAACAGTTATTTGTAGGAACAGATTGAGAAGTGCTGTACTGTTATACAGAAAAGAATAAATGTGGATAACATCAAACTTGATTTCAAAATTGTCATTTTATTATTGAGGCAAAGTTAAGAAGAAAAACTAATAACACCGGTACTTGAACTAACAGTAACAGGCTACAATACTAGTTTACACATTATTCTTGTACTTAGCCTGGCTATAATACAGAGATTATATGAAGTAATAGGAATTCCAGCACACACAAGTTCATCATCTAAACAACTATTAATAAATGCAGATGATCCAGATGTTTCTTGTGTGTGCTGAATTCCTTTTACTTTGTAAATGTGTTGTCCTGCTCCGGCTTGTCACTCTGTTGGATCTATGAGCATGCAGCTGTGCACAGGATTGCTAGTTCTGCATTTAACAGAGATACTACAAACTGAGTGGTCATATCAAAGCAGGAGACATTAGTCATGGTGACATTAAGTATTTAAATATTATACTTCTGCATTTAATCTGTTTGCCATTTTATCATATCTCTGCATTTTGCAGAGTTCTTATTTTGCAGTAAAATGCAAATAAAATCTTAAAATTGTTTGTCACCCTCCAGCAGAATCTCTCTCTGTTGCTTTGACAGACCTACTCTTTTCTTAGAAATCTGCATGTAGCCAATAAGAAACCAGCTGATTATGGTTTCAGCTGTCGATGTACTGTATATAGTCTAGTCACTGACCGCAATAGTGCACATTTGTCTTGGATGACTGAATCCAGCTTTTCTAATCGACAACACGTAGGGGTTGAAGAACTGAAATATCTGCATAACCTTAGCTGGCATTAGAAAATCCAGGATTGCTCATTTGATGTAAGATCTGTATAGCGCCATCTAAAGAACACCTCCTGGGCACTGAGTGTAATAACACCTCTATTTCTTAGATCACAATGGGGGTGGACACAGAAACATGCATTAAAGGATGATACCAGCTTATCACAACTTGGAAAAAATTTGATGGCCAAAGCTAAGAACATAAGACCCTAGTTGTAATAAACTGGAATTTGGTCTGAATTGAATAGACATGACCACTGTAAATTCACAGATAAGTGAATAGTGAGAGACATTTTATTTTTGTGTTGACCAATCTAATGTCCTGAGTTCCTCGCTGACCATTTTGACTAACCCTTAGGTCCCACTCATATGATTGAAGCTGACATAAGTTTGAGCAGTCATGATTCCAAAGAGCCAATCATGGCACATCCCCCCACCACAGACAGCGACATCACACTGAAAGAGTGGCTGGAACGAGTGAAAGTGCACAACAAGGGAATAAAACTAGACTTTAAGAGGTGAAACCCCTTTCATATTCTTTTATGTAATATATGGTTGTGTGTGATGCTAACACTGTGTTGTACTCTCCATGCAGTCTGGAAGCAGTGTCTCCATCTGTGCTTCTGCTGGAGGAAGTGCTGCCTGATCTGGGCTGTCCTGTGTGGATCAATGCAGATATTTTCCCTGGTCCTGGGGGACAGGCAAGACCTCTGGACCCTCAGGCTTTTCTTTCGGCTGTGAGAACTCTTCCCACTTGCATGGTGCTCTCTCTTGGCTGGACTACAGGATGGACTGCTGAGACAGATAATCCAGGTGAAATCACTTGAGTAACACTGGCTGTTTTTGCTTGGAGACCTTTATTCTAGTAATAGCAGAAGAAGAATATCATGTGAACACTTCAGCCTCACCTCATTCATTCTGAGCGGTTTTATTCATATTTAGTAATTGACAAGACACACCACTCTGTTCATTTATAACCTTGACACACCAAGACAACAGAAGGTGCTTGTTGGATCCTAAATCAGAATCACAATCTGTACTTGCCAGGTGTGTTGGACACATGAGGAATTTGACTCTGGTACAGCGGCTCTCAATGAGTATGTACATGGCGTTATGTAAGGCAGCAGTGGGCAAGTAACTGATATAAGGCAGAGAACGGAAGTAAAGAAGTAATGTGCAATCAAGCTAAGGAATGTGCCTTAGGAGTAAAAATAAAGTACTATATACACACAGTCTAGAGTCGACGGATTGATATGTACAATGTATATTTACAGGTATTGCACTGAGGGTTATTGTCCAGTCGTACTGTCCTGGGTCAAGTGTTCATCAGAGTGATGGCCTGGGGGAAGAAACTGTCCTTGTGCCTGGTTGTCACCCCTCTCACTGGGGTTACATGGAACGCCATAACCAAATGGCTGGCATAGTGTACAGAAACATCTGTGCCGAGTACAGGCTGGAAGCCCCACAGTGAAAATGGGATACACCTCCAAAGCTGGTTGAGAATGACCAAGCTAAGATCCTGTGGGACTTCCAGATACAAACTGACAAACTGGTAATGGCCAACCAACCGGACATAGTAGTGGTGGACAAACAGAAGAAGAAGGCCATAGTGATAGATGTAGCAATCCCAAGTGATAGCAACATCAAGAAGAAGGAACACGAGAAGCTGGAGAAATACCAAGGGCTGAAAGAAGGATCTTAGCTTGGTCATTCTCAACCACTTTGGAGGTGCACCCCATTTTGACTCGGCACAGATGTTTCTTTTAATAGTTTTTGGACAATAATGGAACTCTATAGTACAGAGGAATAAGATATATACACACACAGTACTTGATAGGTCAAAGCAACTATTCATGGTTGGTTTTGGTCTGCATGTGGTTTGTTGAGAACAAGAAAAATACAGAAAAACACTAGCCTTATCCTCTAGACCAGTTTCAGACAGAAAAGTATGTTATTTTTATTATATTATTATAATATTATATATTAGATGGTTTTTGAACCCTATACAGTGAGAAGGAGGCTTGCATACACATGTTTTGTTTAAATTTTTTCAGGTTACAGCTGGGATATGGTGCATGGGATGGAGGACATATCTAGAACCCTTGAACATCCAGTCACCTTCCCAGTGCGTGCAGCTCTCCTGGCCCAGTCTTTCTCCCAGCTCACATGGCTTCTGCAGCAATCAGACAGGTAATATTGGAATCCGTGAGGACAGTCCCATCAGCATGACTTTTAGTTTGATTTTAGTTTTAGTTTAGGACTGACCAACACCCACAGACCGGAGATCCCACATCAAAGGGATTTTATTACATTAGGTCTGACCATCAGTACACACATTGTTGCTCCCTGAAGACTGATAGATGTAAAACTTAATGTTTCTCTCTCAAAATATTAAATAATTAGCAGGGATTACGGGTTAGTGTCAGGGTTTAGTTTCAAGGAAGTTTAGCCAATAGTATTGTGATAGATGTATGGCTTAAAACTGAATTAATAATCTTTTCTGTAATTAAATAAATAAATTAATATTGTAAATAATTTTCTTAAGCATATGGAAACGTAGCTGTTTCACGCCAACATATAAGGAAGTTCAACCCTGATAGTTTTGTTAGTGGTTTGAATTCAATTTAAAATAAAAATAAACCAGATAATTCTCTTAACCTGGAAGTGCTGCTGTTCACCCCTTTTGTAACATAACACAACATTTTCTTATATGTTTGGATTAAAACCAAAGTATTTAATTTGAATTTTTGGCGAATAAAAGCTAGTGTTTCTCCCCCACATGTAAGGAAGGCTGACCCAAATGAGCCAGTCATCATCTGCACTGATCATCAATGATATCTAGCTACTGTATTACTCACAGCTAAAGCATGTTCGAGCACATTAACCACATAAAGTCTCTCCTCATTCAAAAGTTTGATTAGCACATTGATTCTCATGGTCAGATCGATTCCATTTGTGCTTGATTGCTTGTCCTTGGTGTCCCAGATGTCCAGATTTGAATGTTATATCTTGAATTTGAACAACCATATTTAAGAAAACAGACTTTTTGACTTGGCTTGAATTTTTAGATCTGATTTGAGCACACTGAACTAGAACAAATTGAGTATAGTTTTTTAATAACAGGCACAAAATTGTTCTGTCTGAATTTGAGAATCCTAAAATAAATAAATGTATGCTGAAATAAAGGTTTTGAAATTGCAAAACTTGAAACTAACTATTCAGAATTTCACAAAGTGAAATTCAGACCATATAAATTGGGAAAGTTAGTTTTCAAAGTAAAATGTTTCAGTGCAATAAATTCAGTCATGTTCATATTTCAACACCTTGGGAGATATTAAGTTTTTGTGGCTCATCTTTTGGTGGTAAACAGTGAAACATCACATGTTCATATATATAAAGGAGTCACAATGGGGTTTAGCAATGGAGAAAAAGAAGAAAAGCCGCACTGCAGGAATTTGCACATTTGGTAAATGCTAAATGGTCTTACACATTGCAGCACACTCAAGAGTGCTTTCACACTATTTGGCCATTCGCACTCCCAAATGCTCACACATTCAGACACTGGTGTTATCACCGGGAGCAACTGGGGGTTTAGTGTCTTGTTCAAGGACACTTCGACATGTGGACTGGACAAGCCAGGAATCGAACCGCTAATCCTCCAGTTAGGAGACGACCCGCTCTATCTCCTGAGCCATAGCCGCCCCCCCCAATAGTCTCTTGCAATATATATGTTTTAAGGCGTTTCTGTGTAAGGGAGGAGACAGTGGAAATGTATACATAACTGAAGCGCCTGATTTACCACCACTGCGGGAGATGGAATTATAGCGGAAATTTGACATCAGGAGAAAGCAGGTGTAAAATTTGTGCCACTGCTCTCAACGTGGTAGCTGTTAGTCATCTGAGAGTTAAGAACATACTGAGGAGGGAGAGAATGTTTGTAAATTGCATCACTTGGAGGTGAGAATGTGAGGGACGTTTACAGGCTTTCAGGTCAAACCATGCTTCAATTACTGAATGAAATAAAAGATGATTTGACTGGTATAAGACTACATGAATGCCATTCTGAATATCATTTTTATTTGAGCTGATAATGACACGTTTGTGCTTTCCCATGTTGCTCACAGGTACACTCTAACTGTGTGGACAGGCCAGAATGACAAGTTAACACTACAAGACTTACTGCTCTACAGAAAAGTGTTTGATACCAGTAGGATCTACTATGACCTGCCAGAATCCCAAAGGACAGAGCTTATTATGGCATTGCAAAAGTAACTTAAAGTCCACCAAAAACACATATTGAGAAGTTGTTTGGCTGTTCTCAACTCTGACAGTACACCCATGCCCCCAGGTGGAGAGACAGAAGTGAAACCTGTGATCCATTGCCATCATCAATATCATAATGTCTCATTGTAAAAGTAATGCCTAACAGTTCCAAGTCCTGCAATTAAAATTGTGCTTAAGTAACTTACCAGGCTGAAAAGCAGTGTTTGGATGACCCTTCTTGTTTTTCAATTTTGAACACAACATCACACTTGGGGTTATTGGGTGTGGTCAGAAATGTAACCATATCCAACAGTGATTCCTGGATTACACCTGCAAAAAAAGTGAAAAGGTCAGTAAAGAAGAGATTCATAGGGGGTAAGTTACTCTTTAAAATATCAAAAGTAAAAGTATTTGTTATGTTCATTAGGCACAAAACATTTAGCAGTTTAATCTAGCTGTACCACATTTTAAATTGCTATCAAGTTGATCTTTAGATGTTAAATTTTAATATACAAGGTAATTAGAAACTAAAGCTGTAAAATAATTTGTAAAAATATTTTCAGACATTTAATGATGTATACAGTTGTTTCTGGAAGTCATAATTCTTCACCTTTTCCTTTCTTGTGTTACAGATTTAATTTTAAATTGCCATCACACAGAAACTGAAAGGGTCTGAATAGTTTCTAAAGCCACTGTAGCAGTACAATAAGAGCATACAAGTACCTAAATATTTCAGCACTTCAGTACATTTTTTTTTACAATCCACCATAGTTTGGTATAATAAATTAAAACAGGATACAAGTTGCACAATACAAGGAGACAGGGAGAGAATTATAAAGTTACATTAGTAACATTTATAAAGCATTATACTGATGTTTCAAATGACAACATAGATTAAGAATTTTTAAGGCACCTAATAAAATGAGATACTAGAGATAGTGTAGTAGACATTCTTTTCTTTAAGCTGACGGAATGCATGTTCTCAGATTTGGACTTTCGGGTAATTATTAATTTGTCTGCAGGCTGGTGCTTTTTGTGGAGCATGTTCTATCATGAAGCTAGAGGCCAGGAGTCATTTTTGACTCAGGATCATGTCACAATACTGAGACCTTACTGGTTATTGCTATGATTTAATGTATTTCATTGTTATTTCTGAGAAGAAAATACTGAGGAACAACTCCAAAACAAATGTATTTTCATGTGCCTTTCATTACATCTAACCTTAAGTTGCACATATTGATACCAAGTCTCTCAAATATTTGGTATATTTATTGAAAATAGACAGCACAGCATACACTAATGCAGTTTAATGAAGAATACAAAGCTGAGTGCATCACTGAAGTGTTGCCACTGGCAACTCTAAGTGAGAAGGCTTTATATTTTCAAGGATGTAGATTTGCTAACTGGCAATTGTGATAAAAGGTGTTTCTAAAGGGGTAAGCTCTTACAACATAAACAAACCAAACTAGGAAAAAATCTGTAAGTGCTGGGCTGCTATGCTTTGCAGTTTATCTTGACAAGTAAGGGTGTGCAAAATTGTTGATAATGGTGAGCAGGCGATATTCTGAATTTGTCTTATATTGTACAAGGTTGCTCTTGTTAATAAGATAGTAATTGTTTCTGCTTACTAATGATATTAATGCAAATATATTTAATAAAGGTCTTATGTACTTTTTTAAACATTTATAAACTTTAAGAACTCTGAAAATAACTGCAAGTATTACATGGATGAGCAGTTTAACAGCAATGTCAAGACTGAAAACAAATGATCATTAATTCACTTTAATAGCAGAAGTTTATACGCAAACTTTCAGAGTATAAAACATTATCTTAGTAGTCTTACACATTCTTTTAATATAATTGCTATTTCTGAAACCAGGATTAATAATGTAAGGGGAATGGATTTTGACCTTGATGGCTATGACTTGGTATG